CCCTACTCTTCTTCATCCCTCGACGAGCCGACCTCCTCCACCACAGTTCGTGGGATGATAACAGCAGCCACATCCACACAACGGACACATTCCTCAATGCATTCTCCTCTCACGACGAGCCGACCTCCTCCACCCATAGTTCGCAAGAGGAGGAATGGCAGAAATCAGGTGAACGCCCCCACCCTAATAAGTGCAGCACCAACTCCACTAACCCGATCACCTCACTCCGACAAGACTTATAACAGCTAAGCCACCATCTCAGCAGCGGCTATGCCCTAATCCAATCCCACTAGTTAGCCCTCCTCACCAACAGGACACAATTTCACCAGCCATAAACCATCCCCCCCAACGCAGGTACCACACATCCTCAAAACACCTGGCCCACAAACAGCGAAAATGAAGTGGGTACCCAATCGAAAATTCCTCAAGACACGAAATTTGAATTCGAGTTAAGAAACCATCTATTTACCAAGCGAAAGGTAAAAAGAACAGAATGTCAATCCCCCCGAAAGCAGGACGGGAAACCAGAATCACCCTCCACAATCCATGAACGACTCAGACAAAGTAGACGGGGAAATAGAGGAGTCTGAAGAAGAAACCACCTTGCTGGTGCGAAGAAAGGCGGGTGTGAAGAACGAAACGAGGCCCTGACTCTGAAGCATCAAAATCAGGACGAGACAGACATGAACTGAGAAGGCAAGGACACTCCAAAAGTTGACCGACCAGTTCACCTGAGCACGACTGAACACAGACCGCAGCCTCGGTAGCTGCCATTAGCACGACCTGGGCTCCCACCACAATTATTATCTAGCCGCCTCGAGGCACTTTTCCCCAACACTGACAACGTCATCCATGACAAGGAGGACGGGGAGGACCACCCCACCAGGAGTGCCAAGCCCCCACCACCTGCAGTGGCTGGCCTCTACAGAACACAAACAGGATGCGTCATCAGGGTTGGGAAAAGTCAAGGATAGAGTCAACGGTCTTGTCAAAGTGATGGCAAAGTACAGTCGAATAGAAAACGCTACAACAAAGATCAAGGCAATCAAGCATGGGCCCGAAGGCCAACAGCAAAAACTTTGCCCACACCCACTCGACGGCGCCTCAAATTCGATTGTTGTCGGCCTGCCCGCCAAACCTTGCACCGACCACAACGTAAATCATGTTCAACCCATAGACAGTCTGCGCCACCCGAACAAACTGCACACAAAAGATAGGGGAACACGACAGGGCATACTACAGTTGCAACAGCTACCCCGCCCACCCACGTCACCGGATGATCATACAGACAACCGCAGGTTCACAGAGGTTTCTGTAGTTACTGGAGAAAAAAAATATCTGCAACTTTCAAAGATGGGGGAGGGAACACCAACGATCTCCCGAACTGCACGTCTTATTGACGAGGACTGCGGAGTCGTGCGGAGATCCGGATTATGAGAATGAGGGATTCTCGGTGGGCAAACAGGAACATTCACCCGGAAATCATGATGCAAAGGTCAAAATTGACCCCCCCCCACACCCATCCTGGAGACAGAGGTGCAGATGAGAGAACTGCAAACTACGGCGACAGATAACCTGCCTCGACCCCACCAATTAGGGGGTGCCCCTCGGGGAGCAGAAACTACGATCCACACGACCGGGGGGCAGCAAATGGAGATGGAGGTTCTCCCACTCCTCCCCGCGGACACACACGCAGATCCAGGAGACTCGAGACAGGAAATGGAGGTAAAGCGTTTGCCCCCCCTCCCGCCCGATACAGACCCTCCCCCTCAGCTGATATCGGTCCCGACCAAAGTTGTGACACATGGTCCCGTTCTTCACTGGGCGACGCAACTCCAATAAAGTCTAGGAATATTCTCGCAAGGTTGTGTGATGGCTGAGACAATGTCAATCGCTCAACAGCTCTACCTCCTGGGTTTCAGAATGTGGCCAACCTAGGTGAGGAACAATTGTGCTTGGTTGTTCTATCACCGACGCAACAGGGCATCCTGCAGCGCGAAACCCACAACCAAAAGGAAATACTCCATCTGCCTCCCCCAAGGCCCTGCATCAGACCCCAATCCCAATGGAGCTCTCTAAGACGCTCCTACCTGGGCCACCATCTACCCCACTAAGACTGCAGCAAGAGCCGGCAGGTGGCAGAAAACAAAATACACCGGAACAATGTATCGAACTGGAGCCCCCACCCAACCCTCAGGGAAAATTTCACGACAAATAATTGTCTAAGAAAAAAATCATCCAAAAAAGTCTCAAAGCAATAGCAGATTGGGTGTTGCATGAGTATTTGAAGAATACTAACGTGCAACTTGCTGAATCCCTGCCGACAAACTATTGGGAGGTGATAGCGGATATGATTGCCACATGCCCCCCGATGGTGGAAACGGTGGACCAGGTCCGGCGGTGGATGCTTTTTACGACTGTGCAGACATAGATTGGGCAAACATCCCCACCCTAGCGGAAGGGATCGCCAATAAGGTCATCAAGAGCGATCTGTTTAAGATTCAACCGGTTGGCCGGCCGGACGTGGCTCAACCCCCTGACCACCAAACACCGTTGAACGTCCATACAATTTACAAATCGGCTGTGTGTCCATTCAACTAGCAACGGGATTTTTTTAACTCCGTTGTACCCGTTGAATGGGCATAAGTCCCGAGTTGAATCCCCGTTGAATGATTCAACGGCCGGTTTCCGTTGAACTCGGTTCAACGAACCGCGCGCAACGCCCGCCGGGCACGTGGCGCCGGCGACGTGAACCAAAAAAACAGGGGTTTGTCTCCGACCCTGTCCGTTGTATCCCCGTTGAACCCGTTGAACGAGAGTTGAATCCCCGTTGAATGAGAGTTGAATCCCCGTTGAATGGATTCAACTCTGTTGAATCCTCGTCGAACGGCTTCGTCGTTTGACGGGTAAGCGAACGACGGGGGCTGCACCCGCAGCTGCGGCCTCATCGCCGTGCGCTGGAGGTCCCCCTTGCTGTGATTTCCATGTCTGTGTGTGTGTGTGCGTGCCTGCTGCTTTGCATGGCTGTCTGTGCTCTTGTCGGTTGAGTGTGTGTGACCCGCAAGGGTACTTGTTGTTTGCAAGGCCCCGCAGGGCCAGTACTTACCTGTGGCCGTGACTGTCAAGGTTGAAGGGGGGGTAGACAGTCAAGTAGSGGGKGTAGGCCCRCRMYACTTAGAGYAGGGGGGAAACACTCGAGTAGCAGGTAGGACGGTACCACTCGAGTAGTGGTATGAGTGTCGTACTGAAGGCCGAGCAGAAGAAGACAAAAAGTTGGCATTTTTAGTGGCCTAGTAGCGGTAGGCTGTAGGTTAGAGGTAGGCCGGTACCAGTCCAAGTAGCCCGGGTCTAGGGCCTGTTCGGAGGATAGCAGAGTCTGCAATGATGTTTCCCTCCGAAAGGGAGGAGGTACCGGTTGCTGGGAGGCCGCTCGGCCTAGGAAGTCACCGCCCAGGAGGCCGGTATGCCTCTATATCTCCAGGAAGAGCAAAGAGTTCTTCCTCATTTGCGGTGTGCAAGGATTGGCGACATGCTGTTGGAGCACAGCGCTGGAGGTACAGCGCTGCTTGGAGGGAGAAGGGACCGCTGGAGCTCAGCCTGGCTATGGCGAGCAGTCCAACTTGAGTAGGAGGAAGAAGGGGCATGGTAGGAGAGTGTTGAGGCACTTACCTGGCTATGGTGGACACCGTCTTCATCACCTTGTTGGGCGCTGCATCCGGAAGGCCCCAGTTGGGGTAGCGCTGCAGCAAGGAAGCTCAAGGCAGAGTCAGGCATGGCGGCCCAGTCAGCAGCGGCATAGCTGCTCTTGGGTTGTCCTTTGGACATCAGCAGCACCATAGCTGCTTTGGGTTGTGTTTTGTACAAGAGGGCAGGGCCCTCATCACTCCGCCATAGCCTGTGCATGAGAGGGAAGGCTGAAGGAGGGAAGCCATAGCTATGGTGGGCTTGTTGTTGTTGTTGTTGTTGTTGTTGTTGTTGTTGTTGTTGTTGTTGTTGTTGTGGAGTTGAGTCAGCAGTAAGAGGGAACTTCGGATATTGATTCGGGTTCATCCATTCATTGTTATTATTATTATTGAGAGAAGAATAAGGTTGGTGAAGTGAAGGAGGAGGAGGAGGTTGGAGAGAGAAGGGGGGAATTGTCATTGGTCTTGCTGGTGTACTTCTTCTTCTTCTTCTTCTTCTTCTTCTTCTTCTTCTTCTTCCCCTCTCTTCTCTGGTCTTTATCTCTTTGCAAGTGCTTTCATTTCTTTCGCAATTGGGTGGCATTGTCTTTCATTGTGAATTGCACTTGGGAAACGACCAGGATCGTAACAATTGAATGATTGTTGGGGGAGGG